ATATACCAAATGAACTGTAATTTGTACTTTCAAAATTTACCAAATTTACCAAATTTATTGTGGTCTCTGTTTCTGTTATATTATATGCAATTCCAGATTTCCAGTTTTGTTGAGAAAATAATGTTGCTAAATGAAAAGATTAATTCAAGAGAAATATGACATAGAATTGTCTATATTACATTTAGCTATATGATATAAATTACTTGTACACAAAGCTATCCACAATCCAAATCCCCAAAAGAATAACATATTCCAGGATATATAACGTCTGACATTCTGTTTAATAAATTCAAAGTACTGGACCATTGCATAATAGTATTATTTCCTATTTTAATTCTGTTATGAAATCGGAGTCATAAAATACGACTACATATCATAAATTTTGTAATGATAGGTCAATGGTAAATCAAAAGGTTACAATAACAAAAAATAGACTATCTATGAAGATAGGAACAATATAAATTTGATGTATATTTTGTTGTATGCAAGTGTCAAAACAGGATCACAGATTGATATTATGACGAATGTTTTGGAAATATTAAGTAAATTTTGGAATGCACAGTATTACAGCCCGACTTGATAGTCTGAATCAACAACTGATGATCATTTCTAAATTGCAAAGAATGGAAGGGGAATGTGATGTGTATCCTGCCTTAATGTGTAAAAAGGTAATTATAATTTATTGGATTCTATGGATCAACAAAAAAGGATATGTTTTATTCAGTGCAATAAGCAGAATAATTTTGGTCAATTTTGTCATTGCATTCATCATTTATCTTTGGAAGAACAGTGCAACAGACTTAATTATGTTCAAGAATTTATATCATGCAACAATACTAAAAGAAGAGTACCGTGTAGTGCAAAGATATGCAAAACTAAAAAAAAATTGCTTATTTGTAAAAATACTCCATTAAATAAAGGTACCTTAATATTATTACTATACTTATAATGAATATAATTAGACATAAATATGACATTTTTTTTAGGTGAGGTGGAAGAAATAGGTGAACAAACTGTTCCTACAAAAGAAGAAAGTTTCCACATTAACGTAGAATTGAAAACAGCATCAAGTGAACAAAATTCTCATATAAAGGAAGATAGAGTTTCCCAAGAAATTAACAATTTAAGAGATATCGATTATAATATAGAAAGTGTTCAGGCCAAGGATGATCAAATTGCAAGAATTCAAAAGGTTCTTCTAGAAAGGAATTAGCCTTTTAACTTTTTATTTACACTCATACAATTTACAGGATCTCTTAAATGAAAGGAAACGTAATGAGGAACTTGAAAAGAAATTAGAATCCTTGACTTGCAATATAAATTGTTTAAAAGAAGACAGTGAGCAAAAAGCAGCATGTTTAAAAAACGCGTTACTGACAGCAGAGGAACAAGCTAAGCTAGCAATGAAATTAATGAAACAATCAACAAATCAAGTAGATTTAGTCAAAACGGATAGAGATAATCTACTGAACAAGATTTCAAAATTACAAGTAGTATTGCTTATTAATATCAATGCGTAAAATATTATTAACATCAGTATAATTATTATTTTAGCAACAGATTGCCGAAGTTACAAATAAAAATGTTGCTTTAATTGAAGAAAAGAATAACTTAAAACAAAAATTGGACTCTGTATCAGAGGACGAGACCAAGAGGTAAATTCTGTGATTGTTTGTACGAATTTTCTTGTCTTCAGACTGTAATATAAAAACCACTTTAGATATTAAATGCATGCTTCAATCATACAAGGTGTGCAGAAGTGGAGTTAGAAGTGAATAGGATGAGATCTGCAATAAAGGAAAAAGAAGATGCTTTGAACAAAGAAAGAGCAGAATTCAATAGCATGATTTTGGAACTCACAAATGTGATAAAAATCCAAAAAAGAAGGCTATGTGAAATAACTGGTGTATGCAACGATCAACAACATGCATTGCACGAGAAACACAAAGAGTTATCTCAAAAAGTAAGACATCAAGTAAAAGGTTTAGATTACAATTGTGAATGTCCTTTATATCTATAGAGCACTGAATTACTGAAAGTACAAGATGCATTGCAATCGAGTAATAATCTGAGTAAAGAAATGCAAGGACAGATAGAACATTTGAAAGAGTGTTTATGCGAAGAATCAAAAGCTTGCCAATGTATGAAGCAAGAATTAGAAATTCTGAAAGAAAACCATTCTTCTGAATTAAGGATAAAGGAAAAAATAGTGGAAGAACAAAATAAGACTATTACAAGGCAAAGAAAGGTACTCCATACCTTTTACATGTTTACTGACATCTATAAGATGAATCCATAAATGCCCCTTCATTTGTAGTTGCTACATGATAGCGAAGAAATGGCACATCAAGTTGCCAGTGAATTTGAACAACTCCGAGAGGAATTGTGCCAAGAAAAGGAGAAGTGTGAGTGTCTGCAAATAAAGTTGGATAAAATCGACAGCAAATTGAATAAAACATATTCACTGGAATGTCAGCAATGTGGGATTCTAAGATCTGAAATAGATTATCTGAAAAAGGAGAAACAAAGATCATTAACAATCGCGAAGTTTGCTTATCAAAAATTGAATCAATCTACGAGATTATATCAGAAACAGCTTGCTTGTCAAAAAGAACACTATAGGAATATGGAGTTGATAATCGAAAGGAAAGATCATGAAATAGGATGCTTAAAAACACAAATTCTCCAAAACCACTCAAAATCTATTCAAAGAATAAATAATTATGTGGTATAATGCAATTATAGTAAAATTGAATGCTCATGTTCCTAAAATGTGTTACAGGAATAAGTTTAAATAATTTGAGCTTCATAGATTTCTACCAATAAATATATCATAATGTATATATTTTACTATGGTCACTTTTCAGGTAATACACTATAGATATAAATTTACATTGTACATACACGCAACATTGCAATATTCTGCAGAAAAGATGTATGCAGTCTTTGGTTGAATATAGATGCACCAAGTTACTTGAACTTCAACTTAGACACTCTTACTCTGATCTCAAGTAACAGTAGTTTAATGTTTCTCTTGTACCAAATGATATTATAATTCAAGTGAGTTTTCCAGTTTTTATCTAAAAATTGTTTATAAAATACTGACATGTCATCTGCAGTGATCGAGGTCTTTCCCTGATCCTTTAACTTATCTTGGAATTGCTTACGTTCCTACAATACATTTAACATTCTAAAATACAATACTTCTGTCTTGCAAAAACATTCTAGAAGATTTGAGAGCTGTACTTCTGTAAAACTGGCATTGTGTCGTGTCCAAAAATTTTGGTTCCAAATTTGAGTAGCCTCCCTAGCCTCTCTGTACTTCTTTTCGAGGTTCGTCTCATTTTTCGGTTTCGCAAATATTATCGGCCGCAAATTCGAGACCGGATCGGGTGGCCCTATTATGTCAGCTTGTGTCGCAGATTTTAGGTTAGAAATCGTTTTCTGTTTAAGATAAATAACATGAATGTATAGTAAGATTGTTGAAACGTCGACCAACATAACAAATGGTAAACTTACTGTGCTGAATAATCGGGTTACATTGTTGCAATGTTTCAATTGCGTGAATATACATGCTCGAGCCATGTCATAGACAATTACATTTTTATGAACCACGCGTTTTTTGGTTATACGCTCAATACTACATACAATGCAGTAATACAGGGTGTCACAATTAATTTCAGCACCTCAAACAGTTTGCTTGTGTCTATCATGTCATTGATAACATAAAAAGTTGTCAGAGAAAAGCATGAATCGTGTAGAGGTATCAAGTTCATTGATGTTTTTTTAACTTGGTACTACATATGTATTTTCGTAATAGTCATGCACTAGCCTAGATCAAGGCCAATGTTTAATGTCCTTTGTTTTATCTTTGAGTACAAATGAATTGGAATAATGATTCGCAAATTAAATTCGTATACAACAAACAACCGTTTATTAATATAGTAACATAAGCTCTTTTATAAATATAATCTAATAAATCTAATAGCGGCATGATTTAATTCACTAGATAAATGAGACTCGTTCAACTTTATCAAATAGATTCTGGCAAATCTTAATCGTTTATACGTTTCGGATACGGTACTCTTATAAAAAAGTTTGCACTTTAGTTTTCTGAGAATATATGTTTTCGCTGCCAATAAATCCATAATGGTGTAAAGTACAAGTGATTAAAAAGAAAAAATCAATTCGAAAATTCATTGACAGTTCATGTATATAAGAATTCTATTAGTTTTTCTAAAAACAGAAAAAAGAAATCACTATTTTAAACAAATTTGATTAAAAGTTTGAAACGATGAATTTTAGATAACTTCTGGTTGCTTGCACTAAAGACTAGAGTTTCCTTTTTTTGTAAAAACATTCCCTTTGTATGCACAAGTTTCTGATCAAGAAAACGCGTCAAATGATTCATTACCGGTATACGGGTGGTATAATTACTGTAGCATACGAGGACACATTTTCCGAAACAGTTAACGATGTTCTCAACATCGGTCTCTGAATCTTCGTGCTATTTCCTAATTAACGTTTTAATGGTTAATTCAACGATTTTAAATACGCCGCATCGAACAAATCAAGTTCGTTTGTTAAATAGTTAGCCTTATTTCGTAATGCTTTTGCGCTATTAGTTGCACCCTCTAGTATTCTTATCGTGCTTGCTATATTCGTTATCTCACTGCCCATCTCGTTTGTCGTTTCGTCTACTAAATGGCACAAACGTGCAAAAGTGCTGGATAACTCCCTAAAAAAAAAACATTGTATGTAATCATCAATCCAGACATCTAAATTAATTAAGAAAATTGACTTACTGTTGCACTTGATGGCTACAATTTGCGGACGTGAGATCCACGATTAATTTTAATTTCTTTGTAGCATGATCCACGTATTGACGCTTAAATTCACGTTCCTTCGCAGCATTTGTCCATGCTAATCGTTCGTAAACGTATACAGCACCGTATATGGCACCAGCTACGGCTATAAGTCTCCAACCGATGGTTTTCAACATCTGAAATGGAATAGTTCAACAAGCGGAACAATGTAACGTTCAAAATATCATTTGAAAATATATCTTACAAAACCAGCAACTATGAGACCGCCCATAGTGCCCTGTGATGTTATAGACGCCACTGCTATTTTTGTAGCCAATGACCAGTCGTCAGACCTCGCTGGTAGTATTGTAGTATTTGGTACGAACTTAGATATAGAATCCACACTGTCTGCGGGAGACATGATCGCGGATGGTATCTGAAAAAATATTTGCATATGACACATACAATACTTTTATATGGCAGTTTGATTCACGCAATAGATTAACTTACATCCTGCGAATAATTAGCAATAGCTAATTTAGGACGCTGTTTTCCTGCGAATCTATTAATTATGGCTGTAAGTCCCCAAGTGAATCGAAACTCTAAATCTTCATGGAAGTCTGCGCACAAATTGTCACAATTTAGTCTGTACAAAATCTCAAATGGCTCTCTTCTTGGTAAAATGTTAAGCGACATTTGTCGTTTAGTGTCCGGTAACAAGGTTGCCATTCGTTCGGTCATTTCTCTTTGTGAGTTCTCGATGTTCATTGCCAACGCAGTACTAAGTCTCGCTTTTAAGTTAGATCCTAAACCATTTTCCACGTGAGTGTGAAGTTCTCGTTTGTATATGTTTAAAACTAACGGGTCAGTATGAAATGGAACATTAAATTCGTCAATAAGCACGGCTAATCTATGTATCTCTTCACTTAAAGCTTTGGAAACTCTTTGTTCTACATCCTCCACCATGTGATGAATTTTGTTCTTCATTTCACGAGTTAACTCCATTAATTGCTGTTCCGTGTAATTTAATTTATCATGAATATCTTTTTGAGTGTTTAATTGTTCGGCCTTAGTCCTCTGTGTTTTTTCCAATATTTCGTCCAATGTCTCTCGAATTTCGGTCGCAATGTGTTTCCCACGTTGAGAATGCTGTTCAAATTTAGTTTTTACAGCAGACTTTGATATACATTCTTCGAATTTTCGTTCGAAATCTTGGAACTCAAAGTATCGATTTTGAAATCCGTCGGCTAACGCACCATCTGTAAAAAAACTTATTTGTAGCAATTAAATCCTCAAAAGAGAAAATTTAGAACTCTTACTATGAGCTGGTTGACCACGCTGTTCCTGCAAGCGGGCTTGAAGAGTTTCCTTCGCCGAAATAAAGAAAACGCGTTCTTCGGCATCCTTGGGGGAGTAAACTTTCAACTCTTTTGATAGAAAGTCAACAGCCCTTTCTTGATGCTGTGCCCTGACCTACACAGACATGAACCTCGTGTAAGTACGACTTACATGATAGAGTATCGAGCACAGTTTGAGAAGCAAAAAGCAGACCGTGAAACTTTTTAAATTTTGTCATGCAACAAATTTAGTGCACGATGTAAATTGCATAGTGTATCATGAGTTTTAATTATGATTTGTGATAATGAAATGAATTTCATAACTTTGTTATAATTAGTAAAATAGAATAGAACAACTTACCTCTTTCTGCTCTTTGACCAGCTAAGAGATAAATCGGGTGTTATGTGAGTTATTTGAGTAAAGCTGCCACTGCATACAGCTAATGTACATATGTTTTAATGAATCTAAGCTTTAAACTTGTTAATGTAAACAGCAACTAAAACAATTTACATGTGAAAAACTTCCGCAACGAAGTTATGTAGTACCAGCTTTAATGAACTTCATTTTGTACGCGATTTTTTTTTATATTGAAGAATTACTTTCAAACGTAGTTCGATACGTTATAAAATAGCAGTTTTATACAAAATATACCTGATCGAAGAATTCTGGTTCTGAAGCAGACGCATCCCATCGATTATTTAAAATGAAGATATTGGGTTTTGATAATTTTGTAGACACTTTGTGGAAAAAGTTTTTCTCCTGTAATTGAAATTGTTATCGTATATTCTACGACTCCAGTGTATTCCTTGCATTACTATTACTACTACTTACAGTAACCATTAAAGTAGACTCAGCATTAGATACCAAAACGAAAACGTCTGCATCCAAACAGTGTTTATCGATCCATTCGTCTAGATTCGGTGTAACATCCACTCCAGGACTGTCAACAAATACTACATCATCTCGTAGTAGTAAACATTTGTCTTTTGGCCAAAATATCCTAACTAAGTGACTCTCGCATAGTTTCTCTTTGCAGAGAGCATGACCCAATTGACCCACTGATTGGACTGGCTGCTTTTCGGTCGATCCTTCGGTAATAAGGTACGCTTCCCCATTATCCGAACCTTCGACTTGTAAAAAACAGTTTGTCGTGTGTCCTATGCCACTCGGTAGAATCTTATCGCGTAACATTGCATTGATAACTGTACTCTTTCCGTTGCTAGTCCTGAAACATAAGATGATATTTAGTATAGTGGTTATTATACTTATCACTTGATGTCTGTACAATTTCGTACCTTCCGAAAAAGGCAACTTTCATGTGATCCCGCTTAAGTACATCCCTAATTCCATGAACCTTATCAACATAGCTCACGATTTTTGCAGCTTCTTCAAGTGTGACAATGCTGTCTTCATTTTGGAGTGCTGAAAAAATAATTGCACAAGCTATTTACTATTACTGTTACTTGTATTAGTGATTAAGACTCACAAGATTTGGAAACATTTACATTTCATAAACCGAACAGTGTCCTGTACATAATCTTCTATCTCCACAAATATGTGATTGATTTTTTTCTTGGCCTTAACGAAAATCTGAAGAGGAGAATTGTCAGTTCGTATATCTGTTGATCGCATGTGGCTGTCTCCCCCAATCATGGACATTGTACGATTGATGTAGACAGCCATGGTTCCTTATACGTTTATTGTGTATACAATGGGTTTAGCAAAGTAAGAAAAATATGGTGCAATACGTTAGGCAGGACGTTGTTGTAGTGCACAGCATGCAGGACCAACTGAAATCATAAAAAAGCAACAGTTAAATACTTTCTAATAATACCAGTGATCTACAAGGTACAATTTAAAACTGACTTTATATGCAAAATAGATACTTAATAAACAAATATTTATATAAGAAAACACATATGTGAAGCAATAATGTAACACATTTCAAACTTCTCTGCACAACAATAAAAATCAAATGTACGATAAGTAAACACTGAACGATACAAGTAAATTTTAATGTAATGACATTTTAGCAGCTATCTAAATATTAAATATTTGATTTATATAGTCCCTATGTTTCTAACAAGTCAAAAATTGGTATACAGTCTAAGCNAACAAATATTTATATAAGAAAACACATATGTGAAGCAATAATGTAACACATTTCAAACTTCTCTGCACAACAATAAAAATCAAATGTACGATAAGTAAACACTGAACGATACAAGTAAATTTTAATGTAATGACATTTTAGCAGCTATCTAAATATTAAATATTTGATTTATATAGTCCCTATGTTTCTAACAAGTCAAAAATTGGTATACAGTCTAAGC